AGACTCCTGCGAGTCCCTTGGATTCCAAGGCGATCAAACTGGTCAGTCCTAGAAATCAACCCTGAATGCTCTTTAGAAGGCCAGATCCTGAAGATGGAACTCAAATACTTTGGCCACCTAATGAGAAGGAAGGATTCACTGGAGAAGAGCCTAATGCTGGGAAAGATTGAGGGCAAAAAGAAGAGGATGATTGGGAATGAGGTGGCTGGATGGCGTCACCGAAGCAGTAGGCGTGAGCTTAAATGGACTCCAGAGGATGGCAGAGGACAGGAAGGCCTGGAGGAACGTTGCCCATGGGGTCGCAATGGGTCGAGCATGACTTCACAACTAACAACAACAACTTCAACTCTGCATTTTACAGAGAAAGTTCCAGAGGCAAAACAAATTTTACATTGCACAAAAAGTACTGGGGGAAAGAACTTTTTGTGACCCTAGTATCAATCTGTAGCTGTATGAAAAATAAATCCAGTAATTACCTGCATAGATAACAATTCCTATAGCAACCTCTGTATTCCTTATTATGCAACCACGAAGAAGAAGGCTTTCATTGTCCAGTCCAATTCGTGTGCAATCAGGCTGTTCCCTGCAAAGAAGAAATATGTGTGTTGTTTTCTTCATATCTTTTTTTCTTGTTCTCTCAGTGCTAAATAATACACTACTAATGTCGTGACCGTGGGTGATTATGTTTTGAGGCTCACTGATGGTATAAAGTACTGCAGGGGATCACTACCATGCTGCGGTTTCAAATCAGTGTTAAAAGGCTGAGAATTTACATTACAGAAAAGATGATTTCTCTGATGTCTTGAGCCCTAGGCTTCTACAGATCACCATGTAATGTTTTGACACAACACATTTTTTAAAAAATTTGACACAATACATTCTTTTAATGTAAGTGTTCAAAGATCTCGGAGGCTCTTCCTACCTTCTGTTGTACCAAAGTGTCAGCAGTGGAAATTCAATACATTGGGTATATTTGCCAGCAGCATTTAAAAAAGGATGTCCTTGCCACTGCAGATAAATTTATGTACATGGTGAAACGCTCACAGGCACTTGATTGGATTCTTCATACTTAATGCTCAAAGGCTGTTTTAAAGCAACCATCTGTCTTTTGTCTGAAAAAAGGCCTCAAAATGCTTCAGCTTTTTTCTGTGACCCATCTTTCAAGCTTACTTTTGGAGGATTCTGAATGGAATGTTTATCACAAATTCTCCTTCTCTAAGGCGAGAGAAAGACTTTGGAGGGCCATATAGAACATCACCACATTTCTGATAAATGCCACCTGTTGAAGCTATCAGACCCCTGACACTCAGAAAAATTGACTTTGCTAGACATTTCTAGCAAATTAATATTCAGGATTGGAGTAAATGAGGTTTTAACAGCAAGAAGTAATGCCATTTTGGTACTATTTTTGTTGTCTCTTTCTCACAGAGGAGAGGGGGATGATGCCATGCAAGTGGGTTGTTTGATTTATCTGTGAGGGATCTTTCCTTTCCTTTCCTGTCCTGTCCTGTCTTTTCCTTTCCTTTCCTGTCCTGTCCTGTCCTGTCCAAGTCAATGCCTTATTTCTTTTACTTTACATCAGAAATTGGTAGAAAACTTCTCTACCAGTATTTGACCATTGAATTTGGATGCTACAAATGACAGTTTGGGACGGTTTATGCAAACTATAGGTTGCTTCATTTCTTATGCCAGTCTTTCTGTTAACTGCTATCTGTACATACTGCAAAATAATTATGGGAAAGGTTAGGGAATGGGTGATTGTATTTACAGTTCTATGCATTGAATATTTGCTTTTAATGTAGGAAACCAATTTAATTTTCCAGTAAAAAAAAGGAACAGATAAAGGATCAGCCTCAGACCTCATCAATAATAACATTCAATGAGGCTTGGGCCTCTCCCAATTTTAAAATACTTGGCTACAAAAAAAAAGAAGATCCATAGAAACAAAATAATTACAGCCTATCTTCAGATTATCCCGATACTGGCATGCCATAAGACAGTTTCTAGGAAGAGCAATCATGAGACACACCCAGCAGTGTTGATTTACATTTGCCATTGTTGCGAATTGACATTTGTTTGCATATTTAAATATTCTGGGCTCAGTAGTACTAGTTTCATATCACATGGGCTGTATAAACCCAATGACTCTTCATGAGTCAGAATAATTAACTACAGATAGTTAGCAACAAGAATATGTTCTGGATAACTTGCAGTGCTTAGATGGGGCAATATAGAAGAAGGCTGTATTAGTTCACTTTTAGAAAATATAAAACATTCAGTGCGCTATGGAATAATTTATCAGTACACTTCCCACTAGCTTATATATCATGTTGGGAGTTGGATGGATTAACCTGATTGGCAAATATATTTTTGGAAAGCTCATGGGCCTTCTTTAGTAATTCACCTATTGTAAACACAAAGAGCAGACAGGGTTGAATACCTAAGCCTCACTTCTCTTTTCCTGATATTGCTGTCACAAATAAAGGATTGCATCCTTTGGAATGAAAATGATAGACTTCTGAATCTATGGAAGATCAATATGGTTACAGCTCTTCAGATATTTCTCATTATTAAAGGAAATTGAGGAAGGAAATGGTTGAGGCAAATATTTCATTAATTATCCCCCACATTTGCATTTTTGGAAAGCCTAAAGAGGACCTAAGAGGACTTTAAGTTGAAGAAAGCAGAACTTGCAGAAATGTGGTTGACTTGTTTATATAGTGTATCTGTTTGAAACGAAGTCACAAAATAGTCTTCTGAATTCCTAATTCCGACATAGGATGCACTGCAAAGCTCATGAGCTCATTCAAATTCTTTCTGAAGATGTTAGCTGCTCACCCTATAATAATCACACAAATTCATCTAATTCCATACTTAAACAATGACAATTGCTCCCACTTTATAACGATACTGTGGTAGATGATAAAAGAAAATTTATTGTTAAAGTGCTGTAGCCAAACACAAAGTTCTCTGCAGAAGGACATCAGCAGTACTAACAGTCTATTCAGTCTTAATCCTCACTGAAGAAGAATGAATATAGCAAATATTGCTGAATATATTTATTTCTGGACTATTTGCATACTTGGGAGAGTACAATAATAGTTATGTAAATTGTTCACAATATCTCAAAACATTTTGAGTAGAATACAATCATAACATAACATAACANTGGTATTGTGGGAACACTTCTGGCATCAAAGAAAAGAAATTTTGAAAAGCGATTTACTAGGAAAATAAAAGTATTCCCAAGAGGTATGCTAGGTTTATGCCTGTGTTCTTAAAGTCAAGAGCTGCTACAGCATTTAAAGTGACAAGATAAGGATGGAAATTAGTTCCAAATGTCTCTTTCCCGAATGATAGTTTTACTGTTGTTATCAGCACAGCAATTGCAACAGTTTTACGCAAATCAAAAAAAGTGCATGCTGACATCCCAGTCAGAATCCAAGTTATTCAGAGAAAACCGGAATGAAATTTAAGCAGTTCTTGAGGACTTGGGATGGGGATTTTATATTTACAATATAAGGTGAAGACAACTCTTCAGATCAGTTAAGATTGCAACTTCCTCTTTTCCCACTCTAAGAATTTGAAGAGTTCCAGAACCCATTATTTTAAAAATCATTCTTGACAATGCATTCTTCTCTCTGTGTAGTATAACCATTCACCTATATTCAGACACTAATGAAACACACCATAAACCTTTCTTCCCTTTCCCTTTTACACATCTTGATTAAGTGCTGCTTTTGTAGTGATCTTCAATAAGTATTCCTAAGGTAGTTTACAAAAACAGCACAATCCTCCTGCTCGCAACCCTGTGAAGAGTGCCATCAAAGGCCACAATTTGGTTTCCTGTATGTACTGTATAATGCAGCATTTCTTCTTCTTCTCTCAAATTATAAAGCTGCCTTTCAAGAAGCAAGATATAATTAGCCAAAGTGATGCATTAAGTAAGAATATATTTCTCAGACTAAACTACAAATGGTGACCCAGGCAGTTTTTGAGTTCTCTAAAATTATTGCTCAGATTAAAAAGTATCCAAAATAATGAAGAGTGGAAGCTGGCATAAAAAATTAATAGGGATTGATTTCTCAACTCAATGGTTTTCCCAGATGCAATGTATGGCTGTGAAAATTGGACCATAAGAAAGGCTGTGCCAAAAAATTGAGGCCTTTGAACTATGGTGCTGAAGAAGACTCCTGCGAGTCCCTTGGATTCCAAGGCGATCAAACTGGTCAGTCCTAGAAATCAACCCTGAATGCTCTTTAGAGGGCCAGATCCTGAAGATGGAACTCAAATACTTTGGCCACCTAATGAGAAGGAAGGATTCACTGGAAGTTCAGCCAATACACGGCAGTCAT